GGCTCCTCCAGCACCTTCAGCAGGGCGTTGGCGGCATTGGGGTTCATCTCGTCGGCGGCGTCGACGACGCAGATCCGCCAGCCGCCCTCCGACGAGGTGTGGCGCAGGAAACCGGTGGCCGCGCGCACGTCGTCGACCACGATCTCGCCGCGCAGCTTCTTGCTGCTCGGATTGATCGTTCGCGTCACTGTGACCAGGTCGGGGTGCCCGCCGGCCGCCACCCGGCGGAAGGTCGGATCCTCGGGCGCCAGCGCCAGGCTGCTGGGCGACGGCGGCGCCTCGCCGAACAGGCCGGGGCCGGCGGCCGCCCCGCCCTGCTCGGCCAGCAGGAAGCGCGCGAAGCGGTAGGCCAGGGTCGCCTTGCCGACGCCGCGCGGACCGGTCAGCAGCCAGGCGTGCGGCAGGCGGCCCGAGGCATGAGCGGCGAGCAACGCCCCCTCGGCCGCGTCCTGCGCCAGCAGACGCGGATTGGCCCGCGGCTCCGGCCAGGCCTGGGCCGGCGCCTCCTCCGCGGCGGCGCGTTTGCGGCTCATGCCGACGGCTCCAGCCGCGCGGCGACCGCCGCCCAGACGGCCGCGGCGACCTGCGCTTCGTCGCCGCCGGCGTCGATCACGCAGCAGCGCTCCGGCTCGCGCGCGGCGATCGCCAGGAAGCCGTGGCGCAGCCGCTCGTGAAAGGCTTGGCCCATGCCCTCGTAGCGCTCGCCGCCGTCGCGCCGCGCCGCCGCGCGCGCCAGCCCCTGCCCGACGGGCAAGTCCAGGATCAGCGTCAGGTCGGGCCGGAAGTCGCCGACCACGCCGGCATAGAGCGTCTCGATGAAGGCCGGGTCGCCGCCCTGCCCCGCGCCCTGGTAGGCCCGGGTCGAGTCCGCAAAGCGGTCGCAGACCACCCAGAGCCCCCGCGCCAGGGCCGGCCAGACCGTCTGGGTCAGGTGATCGCGGCGGGCGGCGAAATGCAGCAGCGTCTCGCTGGTGGCGTCCCAGCGGGCGGAATCGCCATGCACCAGCAGCTCGCGGATCTGCTCGGCGCCCGGGCTGCCGCCGGGCTCGCGGGTCGCCAGGGTCTCGTGCCCCGCCGCCTGCAGTCGCGCGACAAGGCGGCGCACCTGGGTCGACTTGCCCGCGCCCTCGCCGCCCTCGAAGGTGATGAACCGACCTCGATGCCGCGTCATGCCCGCAGGGGAGCCTAGAGCCGGCCCAGGATCAAGTGCTTGACCCCGGCCATCAGCCGGCCAAGCGGCCCCAGGCGCTCCACGTCGTCGCCGGCCAGCAGGGGAAACTCCCGCTTGGGCATGTCGGGCGCCTCGACCGTCAGGGTGGCCAGGCGCGCGCCGGCCTCGATGGGAGCCGGAATCGGCCCTTCGTAGGTCACCGTCAGCTCGACCTCGTCGCGGGCGTCGCGGCGCAGCGCCATTACCGCCTCTTCGGCGATCACCAGCGGCACGGTCTCCGCCTGACCCAGCCAGACCTCGGCTTGTTCGACCACCTCGCCGGTCTCGAACAGCGTCTCGGCGCTGAACTCGCGAAAGCCCCACTCCAGGAGCCGCTCGGACTCCTCGGCCCGCGCGCGCGCCGAGTCGAGCCCGGCCACCACCATGACCAGCCGCCGCTGGTTGCGCACCGCCGAGGCGGTCAGGCAGTAGCCCGCCTCCTCGGTGTGGCCGGTCTTCAGCCCGTCCGCATCGATGTTGCGGTAGAGCAAGGGGTTGCGGTTGGACTGGCGGATCTCGTTCCAGGTGAACTCCAGCTCGGAATAGAAGCCGTAGTACTCGGGATAGTCCTCGATCAGCACCGTCGCCAGCTTGGCCAGGTCGCGCACCGACATGCGGTGCCCCGGGTCGGGCCAGCCGGTCGCGTTGACGAAGTTGGAGCTGGTCAGGCCGAGACGCTCCGCCTCCTCGTTCATCATCTCGGCGAAGGCGGCCTCGGAGCCGGCGATCCCCTCGGCCAGGACGATCGAAGCGTCGTTGCCCGACTGCACGATGACGCCGCGCAGCAGGTCGCGCACCGCCACGCGATCGCCCACCTCGACGAACATCTTGGAGCCGCCCTTGCGCCAGGCCTTTTCGGAGACCAGGAAGGTGTCGTCCAGGCTGAGGTCGCCGGCCTTCAGACGCTTGAAGACCATGTAGGCGGTCATGATCTTGCTCATCGAGGCCGGCGGGATCGGCCGGTCGGCGCCCTTCTCGAACAGCACCGTGTCCGCCGCCAGATCGATCAGGATCGCCTCCTCGGCCGCGGTCTCGAAGGCGGCGGCGGGCCGCAGCAACAGACCCGCCAGCAGACAGGCGACCAGCAGGCCGAGGTAGGGGCGGAGGTAAGCCGGGCGGCGGGACTTGGTCGGGCGGCGGTGCATGGGGCGCGGGTCTCCCTCTCGGTCGTGATCCGCGGGGCGGGCTAGCTCAGGAATGCGACGCGACTATGGCCGTGTCGCGCTCGGCGGTGGATCGAGGTCCGGCGCGCCCGGCGTCAGTCGACGACCACGCGGGATTGCGGAAAGCCGCCGTCGATCAGCGCGGCGAGCACGGCATCGGCTTCCGCCACGTCGCGCAGCGGCCCCAGGCGCACGCGCCAGAAGCGCCGCCCGTCGACCTGCGTCTGCGCCACCTGCGGCTCGCCGAAGGGCGTCAGCCGCCGGGCCAGATTGAGCGCGTTGCCCTGCTCCGAAAAGGCGCCCGCCTGGATGAAGAGGCTGGAGTCCGCCACCGCGACCTGGCGCACCTCGCCGCTCGGCGCGGGGTAGTCCGCCGCCCCGCGGCGGCCGGCGGTCTGCCGCGTCTGCTCCCCCTGCGACCTCGTCGCGGCCGGCGCCGCCAAGGGCTCGGCCGCCACGGTTTCCAATGGCGCGGCCGTCACCTGCTCGACCCCGCCTTGCGGCCGGCGCGCGATCTGGCCGCCCTGGGCCAGCGCCGCGAGCTGCCGGCTTTCGCGCTCCAGAATCTGCACGCGCACCCGCGCCGTGCCGTCGGCGAGGAAGCCGAGCAGCTCGGCGCCGCGCCGGGACACGTCCAGAATCCGGCCGTTCTTGAAGGGCCCGCGGTCGTTGACGCGCAGCTCGATTGTCTTGCCGTTCTCCAGATTGGTCACGCGCACCAGCGAGGGCATCGGCAGCGTCGGGTGCGCGGCCGTCAGGTCGTACTGGTCGAAGACCTCGCCGTTGGCCGTCTGCTTGCCGTGGAAGCCGGGACCGTACCAGGAGGCGATGCCGGTCTCGTCGTAGTCGTAGGCCACCGCCGGGCGATACCAGACGCCGTTGATCCGGTAGGGGCTGCCCACCTTGTAGTAGCCCTTGCCGGGCACGCCGGCGCCGTCCGGCGCGGCGCCCAGCTCGGGCTTCGGATCGCTGCTGCCGCAGGCGGCCAGCCCGCCGGCCAGCGCGGCCACCAAGGCGAAACGCAGAAGACGCCCCCTCATATCCCGACTCGCTCCCCTCCTTCGCGCGCTGCCGCCGAGTTTAGCGATGGACCGAGTCGGCACAAGCCTCTTGCGCCGTCACCCCTCGGTGCGGCGGCGCAGGGTCTGCAGCAGGGCCGGCGAGGCGAAGGCATCGGCCGGCAGGCCGAGGGAGCGCTGGAAGGCGCGGATCGCCTCGCGCGTCTGCGGACCGATCCGCCCGTCGGCCTCGCCGGCGTCGAAGCCCAGGGCGACCAGGCGGCGCTGGATCTCCTCGACCTGGGCGACGGCCAGGCGCTCCGCCTCGGCCGGCGGTTGCGTCGCCAGCGGCGGCAGGCCGATCAGCCGGTCGGCCAGGTGCCCCACCGCCACGGCATAGAGGATCGAACGGTTCCAGGAGAGGATGTGGCCGTAGTTCTCGTAGACCAGGAAGGCCGGTCCCTCGGCCCCGGCCGGCAGGATCAGTCCCGCCTGCATCTCCGCGCGCGGCAGCGGGCCGCCGTCGGCCCGGCGCAGCCCCAGGTCCGCCCACGCGGCCAGCGGCTTGACGATCTCCGGCCGGGTCGCGATCGACACCAGGCCGTAGTCGAAGCCCTCGGGCAGCCGCACCTCGCGGCCCCAGGTCTCGTCGCCGTTCCAGCCCAGCGCCGAGAGGTAGTTGGCGGCCGAGGCGAAGACATCGGGCAGCGAGCCCCAGATGTCGCGCCGCCCGTCGCCGTCCCCGTCGACCGCATGGGCCGTGAAGGTGGAGGGCATGAACTGCAGATGGCCCATGGCGCCGGCCCAGGAGCCCTCCATGCGCGCCGGCTCGATGTCGCCGGACTGCACGATGCGCAGCGCCTGCAGCAGTTCCGCCTCGAAGAAGGCGCGGCGGCGGCCGTCCCAGGCCAGGGTCGCCAGGGCGTCGATCACCGGAAAGCTGCCGAAGGTGGCGCCGAAGTTGGTCTCCAGCCCCCAGAAGGCGACGAGGAAGCGCGCCTGCACCCCGTAGGTCCGCTCGACCTGGCTCAGCAGGACCGCGTGCTTATCCAGCAGCGCGCGGCCCCGGGCGATGCGCTCTTCCGTCACCGCGTTGGCGAGATAGCGCCCGAAGCCCAGCACGAACTCCGGCTGGCGCCGGTCCAGCTCGATCACCCGCGCGACCGGTTCGACGCCGGCGAAGGCCCGATCGAGGGTGGCCGGGGCGAGGCCCTGCTCCAGCGCGCGGGCGCGGAAGTCGCCGAGCCAGGCGGAGAAGGGCTGCTCGGCCGCCTGCTGGGCCGCGGCGCTGGACAGCAGCCCGGGCGAAGCTCCGGACAGCGATCCGCTCAGCGGTCCGGACAGGGGGGCGGCCAGTAGGGCGACCAGGCCGCCGAACAGAACGGCACGGAAAGACGGCATCGGGGCGAACCTCGCAGCCAGGGGAGCTGGTCTTGTCTGCCACGCCGGGCGAGTCGCGGCAATCGCCGCCGGCGCGCTCACCGCGGGTGGAGCGGTGATCTTTTCGGGGCGGGGAAGATCTCCTCGCTCCAGCCGAGCAGGCGATAGGCGAGCAGCCCCGCGTATTCCTTCAGCGCCAGGGCGAAGAGTGCCTGGCGGTCGAGCAGGTTGGGCCCGAACCACCCCTGCGGCCCGGTCGCGTCCGGCGCCGGCAGCTTGTGGTCGACGGGATAGGCCAGCGGGTCCCAGCCGGCGGCGCGGAAGCTCGCCATCGCGCGTGGCATGTGAAAGGCGCTGGTCACCAGCAGCCAGGTCTCGCCGGGCGCGGGCGCCACCAGCGCGAAGGTCTCGGCGGCGTTCTCCCGCGTGTTGCGCGAGCGGGTCTCGGCCCGCAGCCGGGCCGGCGCGACCCCCAGCTCGACCAGCAGGGCGACGGCCAGCTCCGCCTCGCTGGTCTCGGCAGTCGCCGGCCAGCGCGCGCCGCTGGCGTAGACCAGCTCCGCGCCCGGATAGCGCCGCGCCAGCCGCACCGCCGCCAGCAGCCGCTCGCCGGCGCCATTGAGCGCGCTCTCCGCGCCTCGGGTCGCCGTCACCACGTCGAGGCCGCCGCCGAGAACCACGATGCCGGCGACCCGCTCCGGCGGTTCGAGCGCGGCAAAGCGGCTCTCCAGCGGCCGCAGCAGCCAGCGCTCGACCGGCGTGACCGCCGGCAGCGCCGCCAGGACCAGGGCGCCGGCCAGCAGCCACAGCGCCGTCCGCCGCCGGCGCAGCAGCAGGCACAGCAACGCCGCACCCAGCAGCAGCAGCAGCAGCGCCGCCGGGTTGACCAGCGTCCAGAAGAGCTTGGCGAGGTCGAAGAGCATCGCCGCGCAGCGATAGCACAGAGTGCGCGCCGGCGCGCGGGGCTCGGCGCGCGAAGCATCGGCCGCGCGAAAAAAGGGCCGCGGCTGGCGCGCCGCGGCCCAGATAGCAAGCCGACAGGGAGGCTTGCGAACCATCGGGGCGGCATGGGCCCGCCGGCCGAGCGGGCGGGTTTCGCAGCCGCCGTGACCTGTCCCGTCGCCTGTCCCGTGGCCTGTCCCGTGGCCTGCCCCGCGGGACGCCGCCGACGTCAGTGCGTGACGCCCTCCAGAGCGGCTTCGACGGCTTGCGGTTCGGTCCCTTCCGTCAGGTCGGCGAAGCCGACGAGGCCGACCAGCGCCTTCTCGCGGTTGACCACCGGCAGGCGGCGCACCTTCTGCTCGCCCATGTTGCGGGCGACCTCGGCACAGTCCTGGTCGTCGAAGCAGTAGAGCACCTCCGCGCTCATCAGCTTCTCGACCGGCGTGGACACGGGGTCGACGTCGTTGGCGATGCCGCGCACCACCAGGTCGCGGTCGGTCACCGTCCCCTCGAGGCGCTGCCCGCCGATCGGCAGCATGCCGATATCCTCGTCGCGCAGGATGCGCGCCGCCTCGGCCAGGGTGGTCTTCGGCTCGATGACCTTCACGTCGGTCGTCATCACGTCGCGCACAAGCATCTCGTGACCTCCCTTGCGCTGCGCTCGTCGTTGCAGCGAAGGCCGCTTTGGCCTCCGTCTGCCCTGTCCAACGACGCGGACCGCGCGCCCGTTCCTACCGCGCCGCCCCCTGCGCGATCGCCCCCCGGACGACCGGCCTCGGCGCGACCGGCCCCCGGACGACCGGCCCCCGGACGACCGGCCTCGGCGCGACCGGCCTCTGTACGATCGGCCTCTGTACGATCGGCCTCTGTGCGATCGGCCTCTGTGCGATCGGCTGTCCCGCCCCACCCCCGCGCGCGTCATCCCCGGCCACCGCCCCGGGCGGACCGGGCGCCGCCGGCGGGCGCCGGGGCCGCCCCCGGCCCGCCCGCCCCTGGCCCTTGCTGCGTCCCGGGCCATTCCTCCGCCCCGGCCAGCTCGCCGGCCTCGGCCAAGGCGGCCACCAGGCGGGTGCGCTGCAGCTCATGCAGCAGCCGCAGCGTCGGCTTGGCGGCGAACAGCAGGCTGCCGACCAGGAACAGCCAAGTGCCCGCCCGCATCAGGCTGTCGTAGAAGAAGAAGACGCTGCCGACGACGAAGCAGAGGCCGCAGCCGAAGTCGGCGCCCAGATGGGCCCAGAAGTAGAGCCGGCGCAGCCGCTCGACTTTCGGATGAACCTCGCGAGCGTAGCCGAGAATACGCTCCGGCATGGTGGGTCGAGCCCCCTTTTCGCGTGTCGACACCGAGGTGGCGAGCATAAGCCGCGCCACCGTCGCGCGCGATGCCCGCCCTTCCCGTGGCGCGGCGGCTTTGCTAGAGGTCTGCGCGGCCGCAGGCTCCGTCCGCGCGACGGGCCGGCGCACCGGAGGGGTGGCAGAGCGGTTGAATGCACCGGTCTTGAAAACCGGCAGGGGTGCAAGCCCCTCGTGGGTTCGAATCCCACCCCCTCCGCCATATGCCCTCGCGAAAGCGTTCTCCCGATCCGGCTGCGGGCGGATTTTTCCGTTGTTTTCGAGGGTTATGTGGGCCGGCTGTTCACCGGAAGAGCCCAAGAGCGCCGCATCTAGGGCGGTTTCCGATCGAGTGG